TAGAGTCGATTGCAATAAGAACTCTATCTTCCAAAAAGAGAAACACAGTAAATATTTAAAAGGTTATTTTGCCTGAAAGTATTTAAAGTTCTTTTTTTTTTTTCTACAGAAGGATGAGAACGAAAAACTCACAAGCAGATCTGGATCACATGCCAGCCTGTTAACAACCCCCCTGCAGCCAAATGGGAGAAACTCGAGGCTTCCGTATGCCAGACCAAACAGCTGGTCTCCCCAAGGAAGTGGGTTAGCAAGAGGCTGGCAGCCCACAACCCACTGCAGAAAAGCTCTCCTCAGAGCCTCCTACTTTTCGTATTCTGTTAAAATAGCCACCAGAGGGGAGGAAATACGGATGGGGTGCAGCCCGGAGCCAGATGGTGAGGGGTGAGGAAGACAAGACTCCCAGCTCCCAGCACTAAAACTGAATGGCCTCTGGACAGCTTAGAGCGCCAACACAGGAAGTGGCTTGTGCCACCCGGGTTTAGTCCTCCCACATCATGTTGTGGAGGATGGTTGTTCTGATCTCTACAATACTCAAAACAAGCACTTTTAATTTTTCACAAAACACTGGGAAGGATAATCCATGCATTGAGTCAGCGCCCCTCCTTGGGAAGAAATGTTTGCTCTCTGATTAGATACTCTAAACAGGAACATGCTGGTCCTGGGTTCCAGCCGGACCAGGGTTTAAGATGAGCAGAGAGGGGCACATCTTGCTTTGACTTTAACCGTATCAAGGAATTTTACTAACTGTTACCCTAAAACTTGGCTTTTCAGGCGACCACTCCTTCAGGGGACCTTGTCCAAGTCATGTTTTTCCCCACAGAACTTGTCTAGGAGAGAAAGGGATAAGCAAATGCAAAGGAAAACTGTGGCTCAAATAGACATTCTCATCTCAAACGCTTCAGCTTCTTAGAAGCCAGTTCTCCACTCTCTCCACGGTTCTTGGTCTTCTATTCTATCAGTTAATACACCCAATCCTTCCCCTCCTGAATCATTTAAATAGGATGCAAATCTGAAACTTTCATACACAAAGATGACCTCTAGATCCTCTTTCTCCGCTTCCTTCTCATGCCTGTGGCCAAGGTCAAGAGAGAAGGATGCTCAAAGTAACATATGAACATGACCCATCAAAGGGGACCTGCTACATCTGAAAATGGAGGTTATTGAGAGAAAGGCAAGAAAAGTGGGGATTAAGCCACACTGTCAACTATTGCGAGGGGCCTCACTTCCCCCAAGTCCAACACTCTGATTAGGATCCAACTGCAGAGCAACTTTAGGGCTGTGCATTCCAACTTCACGAACAGAAAACTCTGAACCCGCAGCAACCACAGGCCTGTGGGGAGGCACTTCAGCTTCCAGAACAACGCTTTTCAATTTAAAAAAGCTAACTTTTGTAGGTGTTCATGGATGATTTGGGGCAATGAAAATCCTATCAACAAGCAGTTAGAACTCAGTGGCTTTTCTGAGGCCAGAAGCATCAGGCAGGATTCGTGGTTGCGAAAGGATGCTCACTCAGATCCAGCCCCCTTCCAAAGAACCCATAGTCTTACACACAGAACTCTCCGCCACAGCATAAGGTAAAACTCGTGGCTGTCACATTTGCCTTGCAACCCAAACCCTTGTGAGATAGCTCTGTCTACATTTATCGAAGCCATGATGGGGCATTACACGGGACAGCCAAGGCCAAGTGTGATCAGCGATAATCACAGATACTGTGTAAACCTGTGTAGCCTTTTTCATTTGAATCTAAGTCAACTAAGCCACTGGTTTTCAGATGGGGGGTGGGGTTGTATTGTAGCTCATATTACATCAGAAGTCATGGTCCCTGAAGGACTAAGTGGCCTGTTCTATCTGATTCAATGAACTTCATTCTCAAATGTAACAACACAGACAAAATGCTAGTTGCATAATGGATTCTTTCCCAATTATATCCTAGCTAAAAGCAAGGCAGATGGCCTATGGAGCTTAATAAAAAATACAGACCTATTTCCGCCTAGTGTGTTGTTTCACTGATATCCTTAGTATTGTTTTCTAGAATCAGGTTGTAGACTAAGGTATTTTTCTGCCCTGTGTAAGAACTATGTCCATCCATTTTTATAAAAAAAAAAAAATCAGAAGCTGTGCTGCCCAGCTCCATGACAATAGCCTTCATTATCATCCTTCAAGGCACTCTTTCTGTTTTTGAGGACATAGTATCTTGTTCGCATTGCTGGCATAATGGGTCCGCAGACTTTGAGATTTCAAAATTATTGGGGGTCAGTTTGTCACAGCTCCTCCAGTTTCTGTCGTCTACAGACAGTTGATGGTCTCCCAGAGTTGGCTTAAGGTTGAACTTAGCCAGTTTGTGTCTTTGACCAAGGATGATCTCAAGCACGCCCGTGGTGAAGAACAAGATAGTTCAAGCACTTGACAGTTCGAAGACGACTGAGCAAGTGTGACAGACCCCTAATGACATCAGTGGACCACCGCAGGGTTTTTAAAACTTCAAGCAAAAAGCTGATGGCTCCATGGCATAGCCAACCCAAGACTACTAGAAGGAACAAGAAATAAAGACCCAGTGGGCTGATCAGGGAGATTTTGTCATAGTTATTCATTTAGCATTTTGATTTTCTATTTTCTGAAAAGATAGACTTCCTTTGTCAATTTTACCGACCTTTAACCCCTAACAATATAGCACACAGTGTTTATATGAACCAAGAAGAAACATTTAAAAATGATGCCTCAGACTCTGCCCCTCTGCCCCCAACCCATGCAATTCACGCCACATACATAATTTTTCACCACAATGGGCCTATCTGTATATGTTCAATAATAAACTGTCTTCCCTTAACCGGGATGTATGACTGGGAAAATCTATTATGCAATCATCACCCTGCCTGTAACGCTGTATCAGCGAATGAAGCTTGGTGAAAGAGAACAGGGCATTTAACTTCTCTTGGGAAGCCTACCTTCCAACCAGGACTGCAGTGCAGCCTTCTGAGGAGAGCCTCTGTAGGCTCATCCACTCCTGTAACCTTCCTTATAATCAGCAACAGGCCGGGAATTACATGGCCCATTGCCACCTCATTACAAGTGATGACAGTGACATTTCTTTGAGACCACACTAGAGAACAGCAAGAAGGAAGGCACTGAGGAGGAGTGGCTTGGCCACCCTGAAGTCTCACAGGTGACCTTAGAAGACGGCAGATCAGATGCCCCTCCTCCGCATTCCATCCCTTCCCCACCCCATCACCTAGGACTAGTCAGTTCAGAATCTGCATCCCCAGCTCAACCTTCTTCGCAGGGAGATGCTGCCATGGATTTAGAACCTCGAGCCTATCAGAAAGGAGGGCTATTTCATGTGCCTGCCTCTCTCCACAAGGAAAGTCTGAGTTTAGGGGAATAATCTCTCAGCTTCACAATGCAACGGGTATTTGCGCCTCACTGGAAAACAAAGGGCCTAACCAGAGGTCACAACACCGACAGTCTAAAACTGCAAAGGCACAAGGAATCAAGTCAAATAAGCTACCCAGCCAAGGCTGTTCTAACAGAAGATGACCCAATATCAGTTTGCAAACTGGACCCGACAGCAAGATGTAATTAACCCAGCACACCTTGAGCCTCCTGCTTTACTTTTCAGGTGACAAAGTGATAGCAAACCCAACTAACACGGAACGACCATGTTCCAAAGGTTTTGTTTACCATAATCACAAATGCAACTCTGGAGTCAGAAAGGGACTTCCTAGTAGGATTGTGAAAGGTCACACTTATTTAGTATCTTCTTTTTTTTTTGGTTTTTCGAGACAGGGTTTCTCTGTGGTTTTGGAGCCTGTCCTGGAACTAGCTCTTGTAGACCAGGCTGGTCTCGAACTCACAGAGATCCGCCTCCCTCTGCCTCCCGAGTGCTGGGATTAAAGGCGTGCGCCACCACCGCCAGGCATAATTTATCGGGGACTTTTTGATTAGAGAATTATTTTCTTTACTGTATTTCTAGAGAAAAAGAAAAAAAAGTTAAGCTTTTAAAATACCAACCGAGAGTGGTGGTGACCTGTCTGTCATCCAGCACTCGGGGGGCTGAGGTGGGAAGGTAGTGAGTGAGGCTAGCCTGAGCTACATAGGAAACATGTCTCCAAAAGAAAAAACACATTTATAGGCATATAAACTTATTAGCAAGTACTAGGAAAGATGCTTTATTCATTCATCATCCATCTTAATAGTTATTGACTTTAGAAAACTAAATACTACATCCAAATACAACACAACATAACGTGCATAGCTGAGCATCTAAAGCCACTCCGTTTTAGCTGAAGGAGAAAAGCTTGAGATCAAACTGAGGTTCCTAATTTTCGTGAAGGGACCCCAAGTCTGCACAAAGGCTACATCATCTTGCATGAACGCCAAGCCCTCTCCAAAGAACATAAGGCAACTTTCAATAAAAATATCATGTTTAATAACACCAGTTTGGGGCTGGGCGGTGGTGGCGCACGCCTTTAATCCCAGTAGGCGAGAATCAGAGGCAGGCGGATCTCTGTGAGGTCGAGACCAGCCTCGTCTACAGAGTGAGTTCCAGGACAGGATCCAAATCAAAGGCTACACGGAGAAACCCTGTCTTGAAAAATCATAAAAAAAATAAAAAACAAAAAAAGCAAGCAGTTTGGGGCTGGGCGGTGGTAGTGCACACCTTTAATCCCAGTACTCGGGAATCAGGCAGGCGGATCTCTGTGCATTCCAGACCAGCCAGAGCTAGTTCCAGTACAGCTAGGAATGTTACACAGAGAAATCTTGTCTCAAAAAACAAAACAACCCCAACAAAATGCTAGCTTGGAGCTGGGGCAGGGGTCGGGGGAAGCTCAGTTAGTAGGATGCTTGCTTAGCATACATGAAGTCCTGGGTTTGACCCCTAGGTCAAATGTCACCATATCTCAGGACACATACACTCTGGCTGATGGTACAGCAATGAGCCCACTCTGCTCATCGAACCCAGGAGGCCTTTCCACAACCAAAACCCGATAGTGGAGTCGTACCTGGCTTTCTCCGTGGTTCCGGCCACTCTCAGCTCTGAGGATAGACTTGGGTTTCCGGGACTTGAAGTTACCCATGCTGGGTCTCAGCACTCCATCCAGCAGCAGGGTCTGTTCCGCATGCTGGGCCTCGTGCAAGGGTGGAGCAAGCTCGTCTATTCGAGCCCCCACCTGTGGGTAGTTCTCTTTATTGTTTTCATCTCTGCAAGAAGAAAGACCCAATTTAGAACAGACCCAACGTAGGTAAACCTGTAATAAAAAGAGCTGATGAGATTCGCCATGCTGTAGTCAGAGGGAACCCAGGCAAGGGCAAATTTTATAAGCCTAAGAACTCAAGAAATGTGAATGCCATTTTTTGTTTCCTTCTATTTTTAATTTTTAAGTTAGGGTCTTCTGTATCTCAGACTGGCCTTGAACTCACTATTATTCAAAGGTGACCTTGAACTTTGTATCCTATCTTCCCTCCTGCACCCTCCACGGGCTAGGATTACAGATAGGTACTACCAGGCCTGATTTACACGGTACCAGGGATTGAACCCAGGGCCTCAGGCCAACTGAGTACAGCCCCATGCATCCTGTCACTCTCCCTTCCCGGGCATCTAAGTCTTCACTTGAAGATGCCCGGCTTTCACTGTGTATCCTTCTTCCCTCCCACAATAACAGCGTGAGACCTTCAGCCTAGGTACTTGAGATCCCAAATTTACAGGTTAAGATTGGAAAGTGCTATGGTTATAAGCAGCCCACCTAGCAGACAGACCAACTCAAACACTCGCAGAATCATAGGACAGATCTCAGTCTCCCGGACCCAGTTCTTGGTTCCAGGCATGATGCTTCCTATTCATTGGCAAAAAGAGTTTGCAACATGGCTCTGTTTGGAGAGGAGGCAAGCCATCCAGATGAGTTTTAAGTCTAGTGATGCATTTTCCCTAGCCGGGCCTTTGAGCAATGCCTTGAATGCAACATAGAACGAGATCCCAATGTGGGGGTTCCCCCAGGGATGAGTTACTGCTGAATGACACAGGCCTGCCATCCCAGAAACTTCAGAAGCTGAGGCGGGAAGGTCAAACCTGAAGTCCATCCTGGGAATTTAGTGAGCTCTGTCTCCTAACAAAAAGCAAAAGAAAGGAAGAGGGAGCTAGGGATATGGCTTAGTGGTACGGTTAATGCCTTGCCTAGTCAAAGTCCTAGGTTCAATTCCCAGTCTCACACTCACACACCCTACTCAGTTCTGGCAGGGATGGCCCAAGTTCCATATAATATGCCCAAAGGCTAATGTTCTCCCCTGAAACCATCTGCCCCGCTTAAATCTCTAGGCATTCTACTTTCCATAGAGCTAGCAAATAGGCAATCGTAGCCATAACGAAATGAGGGTATGAATTGGATTCTTTACCATAGACTCTAAGGTTTGCATGGTCAATATCACCAACCTTACTCTCTGGCAATTCACCAGAAGCAGCTATTTCCTGGGCGTTTTTGCCCCCTGCACCCAAGAAAGCACTGTGGTAAGGGTACAATAGGAAGCAACAGTTCCCAGCTGCTCAGACACATAAAACCAGAGAGGGAAGTCCAGGGAGGGAAGGTCCCCCACCAGACCCACCACGCAACACACCTTCCTGCAGGTGATGACTGAACTCACTAAGCTGTTGAGAAGGTGGGGGTGGGGATGAGGAGAAGCCACCAGGACTGGTGATTTGCCAGCCAAGTCGCAGGTGGCATATCCAACAAGAATAATAAGGGTAAGAAGCTGGGGCAGGGGACAGTGCTGGTGACCCAGTTGTTAATGATCACACCGTTTTACATGTCACTAATGGCTTTAGACATTAGAGGCAAGCCAGGGCTGGGAACTTAGCCCATTCCAGTGAATTCTACAGCCTGTAGCGAGGTGAAGTGGGGCGCTATGCATCTACTCAAGTGCCTGCCAGGGAAAGGAAGCCACAACATCCTTTCCAGGAGCATTTGTTCCTCATCAAGGTCGGAATCCAGACCCCTCCACAACGGGGTCCAAGACAGTCAATACATGTTTAGTGACTAGGGATGAGGGTGCATTGTCAAATGTAGCGGATACGTTTTCTGTTCAAGGGTCTGTTCAAGGGTCTGGAACTCACACCACAATACTCGGCTCAGAAGCACACTTTGAAGAAAAGATGTTTGGGTTCCCAAAAGAGACTCCAGACCCAGAGGGTCACTTGTTACAAATCAGAACGAAGGGCGGGTCATACCTGAGCCCAGAGCAGTCGTCCTCGTCTTCATGTAAAGAGACCGTGCCGTCCTCACACCTGAGATGACAGGGAGAACAGCACGTCAGACACAAAGGTCTACCACGACAGACGTGGCAGTAATCTAGAGTCGTGTCAAGATTAGCATGGAAAATTACGTAGCACGGTGATCCTCACCACTGTCTCCCCGAAGGACACAGAATCACAAACACCCAGCTCCAGTTTCTGATGTCTGTCAGGCCACGATACAACACCAACGTGCCCATCAAAGCACGTAAGCTGAAAACATCAAATTAGCTTTGACTTTTCACCTCCACAGCGCGACTTAGACGTCATCTAAACCAGTGCTTCTCAATCTTCCTACTACTACGACCCTTTAACACAGCTCCTTATGTCCTGGTGACCCCCAACCATCAAAATTAGTTGCTTGCTACTTTGTAACTAATTTTGCTACTGTTACGGATTGTAGTGTAAACATGTGATATGCAGATGGCCTTAGGTAACCCCTGTGAAAAGGTCGTTGAGAACCACTGGTCTAAGGAGGTGTGAGAGCTCACTAAAACCAAGATGCTCCCAGGAGGACGTCAGACACCAAGAGGACTGCTCTCAAGAGAGATCCCACAATCCTCTGCATCAGGCACTCTGTCCTGTGCCCCATGCCACAACAGCAACCACTGGCCTTGGACTTTATCTTTTTCACAAGACTTCCTAACTAACCTGATGAAAAAGACTTGGCTCTTCCACATTAAAAAGAAAAAAAAATCCCTGGTGTTCCCTACTCCCTGAGGGGACCTACAGTAAGAGTGTTGTTGTCCCTAAGTAAGAGGGAGTCTCTGTTCCACTTCCCAGCCATTCATCCTGCCTCGCCCAGCCCCACCCTGGAACATTTTCCCATCTTCCATTCCCATCCACCCCGCACTGACAAAAGCAGGAGGTACCAGTACTGAACAGGAACCTTCCCAGCAAGATCCACACACACCATTATAAAGATGTTCATTTTAATGCATAAATGTTTACTCTTCCTCCTTTGGTTCTGGTGTATTTTGTGCATCTGAGACCCTTTGAATTGGTTTCTTATTGCAGGCAACAGCTATAGCTGTAACTATACTCAGAGAAACGCTGACAGTTCTTTTTCTAGGGACACCACCATGACTCCCAAGTGCAGCATTGTGTATGACTCTGCTCCCCCGGCAGAATAACCGAGGAGTTTAAACAACAGAATCAATGGCTATTAATTAACATGGACTGCTTCCCAGGTGCTCAGTTCACCTTCTGTGATGGCTAAGTGTAATCGCCAACTTGACGGAAGTTTCTAGAGTAGGTTAATTGATGTGAAAAGACCCAGCCTAATTGTGGGCAGCACCATTCCAGGGGCTAGAGACCGAGACCGAGAGAGAAAGTGAACTGAGGATCAACATCCATCTCTTCCTGCTTCCAGACAAGATGCGATGGGATCCGCTTCCTCAAGCTCCCGTCTGGCGCCTTGCCCACTACGATGGACTCTGAGCCAAAATCAACCCTTTGTTAAGTGGTTTTCGGTCGAGGTGTCACGCCACAGCAGTGAGAAAAGTTGGACCAATGTGTCTTACATTTTCTAAGGTTAAGAACGGACCGCTGTGCTTTATTCTAATGTCCAGTTCACTGAGGTAAACAAGTGAGAGCAACGTCAAATTCCTATTGAAGTTATCATGTGCTGGCTCCCTTCTTCCCTACTTCTGTTCTTGATGCAGACACGTTTGATATATCTATACTCAATGTAACATTTTTTTCTAAAGGACACAAGGTTTTCAAAGGATCTGGATCCTGTTCTGAGATATTCAATGTAGTTGAGTAGGCAAAAATAAAACAAATAAGTACATATGCACAAATATAATACAGTGCTTATGCTACATTAAATAACATATTTAAATATTCATCACTGGAAACGCTGTATAATTAGTCCACAAATTAACTAAAGAAAGCTCCTGTTCTCTTCTCTTACAGCCTCTTTTTAAATTATGGCTTTTGTAGTGAATTATACAAAGGCCACCTACAGACTTGAGCCCTCTTTATCTAAGAGAATATTCCGTTCCCTGTGGCAATAAAATAAAGTTGGTCGAGTTAACAAAATGCTCATTTTAACGGAATAATCTAAGCTTCTTGGCTCTCTTCTGTTTTTGACTACCAATAGCTCTACTCATTTATCTCATGAGAAATAGCAACTCAGTTCCCAAGTTTTACATGCTGCCCCATCATCAGTATTCAAACATAGTTCACGGAGGCTTTGCAATGTGAATGACAATGTTTTCCGAGAGTGAAAGAGAGAAAGTCTCACAATGTAGAAACCTAGACTTTTCACCTCTAAGAATTCCAGCCCCCAGTCCCAGCTCCCGAGTTCAGTAATGCTGCCTGAGGACTTGGAAGTTTCTCCTCTGGAAATGATCGTTTCCCCCTCTAATCACGATGGCCCAAGGATGGAAATTTAGCACCAGAGCAGGTGACTTCTGGGCCATCAGGCTGGACCAAATTAGTAGAGCAGAAGTATCTCCTAAACAACCGCCAATTGCTGCTCAGTACACACAAGTTCAAGACCATAGGTCCAGCGTTGGAAATCTATGTCCTCACCGGCCTTGGAGTTCATCCCTGCTCCTTGAGCGAGGCAGAATTCTCCACTGCTTTACTAGGGACCATCAACCCCCACCCAATCAGCATCTCATTTTTGTCTTTGCCCAGGAGGGTCCTATAAAGGGACAATGCCGGCCTGGTTACGAAACTGGATTCTGCTACAGGAAACCACAACCATGGCTCCCCATTTCTGGAAGACCATTAACTCAGACTAAGTGACCAACTGACCCAGGCACGGTGTTCTCTAACAATACTGTTATACCACACGGAGAGTTTAAAGGCCAATCCTTTTTATGATCTCCCTCTTAGGTCCTCAAAACAAAAATATTATATTAATCAAGGTAACCTAGGCTCAGAAAAACAAACATTACATGTAGGTAGATCCTGACTTCTAAGTTTTATATATGTGTATTTATGCAGGAGAGAGTAGGGCTGAGGTTGGGAAACTAGAAAAAGTCCATAACGGGGAAAAGAACAGAACACGTGATGTGGACATGGAAAGGGGAGGGGCAGAGAAATGAGGGGAGGGATGGGGAACAACCCACTAAAGTTAATACTACAAGCAAACCTGTTACTTTAGATACTAACTGAAAAATGGACTCAAAAGAGAGAAATAGTCCATCAGGATGGTGTATTCAGAAATAGCTGTTTGTAAACATGGTATGTTGTGTATATATTTTAACAAGTGTGAATTCAATGAGACGACATTTCAAGTCTTGCAATAACATAGCAATGTCCTGATGGTCTTGCGATTGGGCCCTGTCACAGCGGATCTCTGCCACCAAGTGGCTAACCACTCACATTTTACGGCCAGTGTGCTTTAGACAAAATAGAAAATGTCAGCCCTGACAGGGTTCACGGCTGCTTTCTGGAAGTCGCTGAAGTCACACGTCTATGTGTGACTGAACTGTGAAAGAGAATGTTTTCCTTCTGGTTGGCCATGGTGAAAAGGAAAGAATGTTAATTAAAGACACTTCCAGCAAGTGACTTCTGGGTCGCTCTCCTCGGCAGGCCGTCAGAGTGCATCACCTGGGATGGCTCAGACATCTCCCCAACAACTCCAACTGTGGTCTCTCTTCTCCCTCTTTTACTTTGCTCAGTCTGCCAAGCACAAACAAAAGGAAAGAGCGCACAGTTCCCAGCCCACGTGACGTCTGCACCTTCTCAGGCCAGCCTGACAGCTAAGAAAGAACGCGGTCCCAGGAGGCCAAGCTATTGCCAGGATTCCAAGGCTTTACTCTAGGGAACCTTGCTTGTCCCTGCCCCACATCACCAAGTCCACAGACAAAAGTCACATGACATTGTCAGTCTCTTTTCCCTGAGGCGCAGGAGACTAAAGAGCCAGACTTCTTGGAATAGTGGAAGCTAAAGACATATCCATGAGAAGTTATCTTCTCTGGTTAAACAGGAAGAGAGGTCCCAACTTGATGGGCTGGCAGAGAGAAATGGTTTCTCTTCTCCCCCTGCAGCACCACAGCCCTGAAGGCAAAGTTGCAGAGATGCAACCCTCTCAGGGAATTTCCCACAAGTGTGGTCCCAGTACCTCCTGCATCAGTGCTCTCGGGAATACCTGACTGAGAAGAGCAGACTGCAGACTGGCCCTGCCTCTGCCCCACACAGCTCTGGGGGTAGAATGTCAACCTCTGGGGGCAGTTGCCTGTTGCGTTTTTTGTTTGTTTGTTTGTTTGTTTTGGTTTTTTGGTTTTCTGGGTTTTTTTTTTTTGTTTTTTTTGTTTTGTTTTGTTTTTTTGTTTTTTTGAGATGTCTCTTGTAATCCAGGCTGGCCTCAAACTTTGCTATGTAGCCAAAAAATGACCTTGAACTTCTGATCCTCCTGCCTCTACCACCAATTGCTGGAGATTACAGGAGTTCACCACCATCACCACCCAGTTTTATTTGGTGCTTGGAATCAAACCCAGGGCTTCTTGTATGCCCTATACTATAAACTTTATTTTTTTTTATCTATTTTTATTTTATATGCTTTGGTCCTTTGAATATAATTGGCCCCCATAAACTCACAGGGAGTGGCCCTACCAGGAGGTATAGCTTTGGAGTAGGTGTGGCCTTGTTGGAGGAAATGTGTCACTGTGGAGGTAGGCTTTGAGGTCTCATATATGCTCAAGCCACACCCAGTGTCTCAGTTCTCTTCCTGTTCCCTGTGGATCAAAACGTAGAGCTCTCAGCTCCTTCTCCAGCACCATGGCTGTCTGCACACCATCACGTCCCACCATGATGATAATGGACTAAACCTCTGAAACTGTAAGCCACCCCAATAAATGTTTTCCTTTGTAAGAGCTGCTGTGGTCGTGGTGTCTCTTCACAGTAACAGAAACCCAAACCAAGACACGTGCATTGGGGTTTTGCCTGAATGTACGTCTGCATGAGGCTGTCAGAATCTCTAGAACTGGACAGATAGTTGTGAGCTGCCATGTGGATGCTGGGAATTGAACCTGGGTCCTCTGGAAGAGCAGCCGGTGCTGTTAACCTCTGAGCCATCTCTCCTGCTCCTTGTGATGTAAACTTTTAAACAGCACTGCCTAGTCACTTGACTAGTATGCTTCTAAAATATTTTCATCTAATGGTTTCTAAAACTCAAGCCAACTCTGACGTGACTCCAATCCAAATACGCATCTTAGGTCCTCTCTTAGCCCCAAGTCTATATTTTTCAGCAGAGTCAACCCCCTTCCCAGATAGTGGTGATCAGTTCATTTTGTAAACCAATACCTAGAGGCTACTAGGCAGAACTTTTGCAAGGGAGACACCAAGCTACAGACTGTAACCCAGTAAGAGACTTTGAAAACAACCCTTCGTGAGAAGATGCTGTAGATGTAGCCAAACAGCTAAGGCCACCCGGATGTTGGCGGGGAGGGAGGTTGTATATAAAACTGAGTTAAATCCACCCAGACCTACACAGGCATCACAAGGCCTGAGAAAAACCAAGAAGAGGATAGTCTGCCCTTGAGTCCCAATTCTGCTCTCCTTTGACTCTCCCAAGACCTCCAGCTGGACAGGCCTGGGCATGGGCCACTGAGCATTGTCTTAGGTTCAGGTATGAGGACCTGAGTTTGAAACCACATCAAAGTCCATCAGAGGACTGGAGAGATAGCTCAGAGGTTAAGAGCACTGGCTGCTCTTCCAGAGGACCTGAGTTCAATTCCCAGCAACCACATGGTGGCTCACAACCATCTGTAATGAGATCTGGCGCCCTCTTCTGGCCTGCAGGCATACATGCCAGCAGCATATTGTGTGCAAAATAAATAAACCTTTAAAAAAAAAAAGTCCATCAGAGTGGTGGTGCATACAAAGCCCCAGGGCTGCAGTGAATGGAGACAGAAGGTCCCCAGAGCTCATTAGTCGTCAGTCCTATCCATCCATGAACTCCAAGTGCAGTGAGAGATGAATTCCAATGAGATAAAAGGAAGACACAGGACATTAACCTCTGGCCTCCACAGGCAACCTCATGTGTGCGTGCATGTGTGTATGCACACGTGCGCGCGCACACACACACACACACACACAAGTGCACACATACAAACTGGCCGAATAGCATTCTTTCAGATTGGACTATCTGATAAAAACAATTCATAGGAAACACTAGAAACACTAATGACTATGTGGACACACCTTCCAAGACACAGGGTTTTTCACTTACATTTTAATAGGGCCCACTATCATAGACCTCAAGCCAAAAGAAAGGCTCTCAGTGGTGTGGGGAGGAGGCAATGAGAAGGGTGGGGGCAGGAGGTTGAGGACATTTGCTCATCTCAGAAACATCAGAACATCCTCGGAGTACACCAACATCTCAAACAAACACTTCCAGGGCACCTGCTACATCTGTGCCTTGGGATAGCACCCTCCTTCCTGCTGGCTAAGGGACTGTGCCCACAGACCCAAGAATAGGTTCATATTATTGAGGGGAGAAGAAAAAACAATGTTGCATTTGACCACCACTGGTTTAAGACGCCCCTCCTCTCTGCCCTGTCAGACCTGTGACGCTTTTGGTACCCTGTCAGTGCCTTCGATTCTTGTATTAACCAGATGGCTTCCCAGTTCACCACTCACAGCCTTTTAAAAGGAACCGCTGTCACCTCGCTAAAAGTAACAACGTGATCTTATGCAACCAGAACTCCTTGGGGTGTATCCAAGGATGAGACACGACAGTCTCCCCAGCATTTAACCACAACACACACACACACACACACACCGCAACCCATATGAAATCTGGAACTAAATGTCTCCGTCTTGAAGCGCCTGGGCCTGTGACTGGGGCTGACTCTAGCCACATAAGGCACCTGAGAATCAAGCCCAGAAAGCACATAGTACCAGCAAGTCCAGCAGGGGCAAAGAGAGGTAGGTATCCGACTGCTTGAACCAGGAAACCGAGGCCTCATCTTTGGTCCACAGATATATCTCTCCTCTTCTCTCAGCCTTTTATAGAGAGGCAAAGTGGCAAAGCAATGTTGCTACCACTGCCCCAGAGGGCAGGCCATACTGCATCTTGGAAAGTTTACCTGGTCTTCCTTTTAAAGAACCCCCACTTAGGGGAACTCAAAGTGGGTCCCTATGACAATAGCAAACCAAACAGATGAGCAAAGGCAATTGGGAAAGAGGCCCCAGGGAGCACAGTGGAACCTTGGCCTTCCTCTCCAAGTCCCTGCAACAATGGTAGACTCCAAAACCCAGAGGATGCTCTATGCACTGTCCAGTTATCTCCCAAATAGCTCCCAAGTCAACTTGTGGCTTCTGTTTGAAACGTGCATGTTTTTAAGTAGCAGAATACACAACTTTGCACACGCCTTCTTGCAAAGCTTTTCCAGAGTGACTTTTAGCCAAAGATCCCCAAAGTAAACACGAACATCCTTATGATAAGACGGCTAGGTAGGATACATATAGTTTATACACCCAGCTATATGTAAATATCACGTATAGTGCCAGAAAAGATATACTACCACATTAATTTCTGATATATATATAAATAGATAAATAGATAGATTATAGTCTCAAGAAAATAATAAGGAAGAGATGACCAGAATAAAAATGAAGCACTATAAATATCAAAACAAACAAACAAACAAAAAACCTATGTGGGCTGGCCTTGAATAAAACACCACTCCCCACCCTCCAGTTCGTTGTTAGTTGCTCTAAGCATCAGGTAAGGCATTTCTCTAGTCATATTATTGAGGTCAGACGAGAAAAAAAAAATGACAAAAGGCATCTAGAAAAGTTTACCGCACCGTGTCTCAAAAATCTGTACACACGGAGGGACGATAAGTTTCCCCTGTTTAAACGTGATGGAATTAACCTCCAGTCCTCTCGCATCCATCTAGTTGGGGGTCAACGTACACCGCACCCATGCCATGAAAACTGACACGCATGTTGGCAAAACAAAACCAAGCTTCCTTTCTGACATGTCACATAGATTAAAAAAAAAAAAAAAAAGCTATGCTCCAAGATTGCATATTTTGGGACACAGAGTATCCCTCAGTAATCAGCTAGGTTTAATACCTACCTCCCCCCACACACACACACACACCGTACCCCCACATACAGCTGCTAAAATACTGGTGCAACCTGTGAGAGGTTTGTGGGCCCTGCCACCCTCGCAGTTCCAGGTTCCAGGAGACAATGCATCGCCTGGGAAGAGGGGCTGGGGACGGTGGGTACCTTCACCACAGTTGCTTCGGAAACAAGCATGCAAGTCGATTGTAATGGCAAGAATCACTTACTCAGTTACAGCGGCGCTGCCGAAGGAATTATCCTGAAGGCTGAAACAGAAACAAGAAAACATGAGCCAAGTCCGGCCGGGGAGCCGTCTCCCTAATTGCTCTCCCCGAGTTAGACCACGCACACAAACATGGCATTGCCAGGCAAGTCTCAGGGCTTGCCCGGCACGCTCGCTCTACCTTGGGCTGCTGTCTGCACATGCTCCTGACGACACCCCCAGCAGGGGCCCAGCGGCAGCGGCGAACCACAAAGCCCAGCAGCCCGCGAGGCTGCGGGGACGATGGGGCGGGGCGCGGCGGCGTGAAACCCGAGGTTGCAGCTGCAGGAACCTAGAGAGGCTCCACGCAACCCCGGTAGCCAGTTAGGAGCTGCAAGGAGTCCAAGCGGCTTGAGCTTGCTACCTCAGCCTGGGCGGGCAAAACAGATACCTCCCTCCACATCCCCGCACCGCGCCCCAGTGTATGCAATGCCCGCCTCCCATGGCTAGTTATCTCCCCAGCCCCCACCCCACCCGGAGAATGCAAACGCGCAAAGAAGAATCCATCGTCCAGAAAAAAACAAGGAGAGATCGAAAAGGAGAGAGGGAGATGGATGCTGAGTCTTGTCTTTTTTTTTTTTTTTTTTTCCACTGTGTGGTGGTTTTTATTGCGTAGAACAAAAGACGCTCCAAAGGGCTGGCTGCATCCCCACAGGTTTGAATGCGCTCTGGTTATTTCATTTCTCTGGAGAAAGCGCTCTGCTCAGGACCACACAGCCGTAAATGAGTCTACACAGGGCGAGTATCGAATGCTTTCCAGGCCTTAGCTGGTGCCTAGGACACCGTGCAAGAGGGGAAGGCGGAACTCTCGTACCCCAGACACCTTGACAAAGGATGGAGTGCAGAACTCACAAACGCAGTTCCCTTGGATGAAGACTGCTCCGTTGGGGGAAGGGAAGCCAGCCAGCCCCACCCCCAACCCGCCTTATTCTTGCTTGAAGGATGTTTGTCCTGCCCTCTACACGTCTCCTGCCATGTTGACCTTGACTTGAAATAAACAGACAACTGTGAAAGACAGGTCTCTGGATTTTGAAATAAGATTTCCCTGCCAGGAACAGATGAGCTGGTGGCCTAACTCTGTAACCAAACTGATGATTTACTTTATAACAACTGACCTCATTAAAAAGAAAACTCAACTAAATTTTAAAATGCCTCGGAAATTTGGAAAAAAGGGAGGAGGAGGAGGCTCGCCTTCCAGGGTCACACTGAGTCAAAGTTTAAAGGTCCACCCAAGGGCTAGTTAATGCCCCAGGAGGGCCGACTTGTGTGGACTTGGCTGTGCCATTGCATCTGGCCTAGCCATAGTCCCCTGGCCTGTTAACAGGGACATTCTTCTCTGTCCGTCCAGTTGCAAAGATAACCTCCTTGTCTGTCATTTCACCGCATGAAGGACATGAGTGAATTGTGCATCTAACCCAAAGAACCTTCTTTCTAAATGCCTGTAAAATGAATCAAGGAGCAGCTCCATTCATCTCTGATGAGCACTCACAGTTTTTTGGGTTTTTTTTTAAGTCCCATTTTTAACTTTTCCTGTTTGTACTTGGGGATAAAAATGAAAGTTTCAGAGAAAAACAACAACAAAAAAGTTACCATTAAGTTGGGTTTTTTTCTTTTCTGCAGTTTTACTCTCTGATCTCCAAATATTTTTAGACTGGCCAAATAAAAGCTTAAAGTGGCCTTCGATATTAATTCTGCAGGTTAAACAGATTCTGAAATATTGATTCCTTGCTTGTCAAACTATACTACACACACATTCTTAATCATACCGGCTCACGGAACTAGGTTCTAGATGACACACTTCACCGTGTTTACGGGAACATGGAGTCTAACCACGTAGTTATCTTCCTGTGCACAGATCTGAAGACTGTCCGTTTCCCAAAGGCTCTTTAGCTTAGAGGGGTCCATTCTGGGTGGTCCAGGCGTGTACACAACTCCAGGGATCCATCTAAGACAGGAAGGAACAATGCTTGTATCTGAGAAACAGAACTTATTGTCCAAATGGTATGCACCCACTGAAAATAAGATGAAATAATATAGATGTACGCCATTAAATCCAGATATTCAATAATGCCCAGAGGGAAGGGGAAAAATGAGTTCCCTGCAACCTGTGAGCAGAAAGGACCCAGAATAGCTTTTAAAAACTACTCATACAGAAGAACGGCAACCGGCTGGCACAGTGTATTATGGCTGAAACCCCAGAATAAAAGCCTGCCATTTAGCGGTGTGCAAGAAACCACTTCAGGTTTTACCACTCGTCCTATTCTTAAGTTGTTCTCATCTTAGATCCGATATTTGTTTTCGTAAGTGGTTTTCAAGTACCTTTTTAAATGAGATGCCCTATTCACCTTGGAATGCACGAGACTGGTGGAGAGCACAAAAGGCTGGTTGGGAGGCCCCAGGTTGATCTGAACAACAGGGCAAGTTCAAAGGGAGAAGAAAAAAAAAATAATAATTATCGCTGGGATCTCTAAGGAAACTTGAGGATTTCCCAGGGCAGAGACAGGGTCCAGACTTCCCTGTGGTTTTATGTAACATGGTCAAAACACATTTTTGAAAGGAGAGAGATAATAAATTCGTATGTTTTCAACTTTGAAACAGAATATAGATAGGCAAAATGATGTGGACCCATTGAGAATAAAAGGAGACAACAAATGTACTCAGTTGATTTGTTTCTCAAACTCATTAAAAGACCAGTGAAATAAATGCTTAGGTTCAGCACACCAGTTAATATTATACCTACCAGAGGGTTCTGAGAAAACACTACCTGGCTTTGTTTAGTGTACTAATGAATGATGAACAAATGATACACAGAGTTAACCCTGTGTCGGATGCAGTCCCAGTTAATCAGAAGCCTTCGGTAAAAACATGCATATGTGTATATAATGGATAAGATGCACAGCGTACAAGAGAATAAGGGGAAACAAAGAGGCTAGATTTGAGTATGGTTAACTCACCTGCACGTTAAAGTTCCAGTTCTCCATGTTTTCTAAAGGTGGACATACGAATTTCATACTTAGTCCCAATAGTTTCTTAATTACACTGTTTTCATTCCAATATACTGACCAGAGCAGTCATGCAGCACAGGAGAAAGGAATCTACAAGGTCAAGATAAAGACAAACCACTGACTGGTAGTTTAATCAAAAATAAAAAACAACAAAAAATATTACCTTATGACTCACTTTCCTTGTTCTTGGATACAGATATAATCTGTCTCAAGGGTTCTTTCAAAGACTAAATGGAATTCTTGGCACCAAGAAATTTAAAAGAACATTTCAACAGTCAATAAATGCCAGTTTTATCTTTGTTCTATTGTTATAATAAGCAACATGTAAACATGAAGTTTGGAAGAGAAACAAACTGGCTGTTGGGTGGGCAGCAGGTTTACAAATGATACTATCTTTCTGCTCTGGGGCTTCACTGCTGGCACAGCTTCTTAACTTGGAAAAATCATAGACTTTTATATTCGAACTGATGTGGGTTTGCTCTAGGTGGAAGGGGCTTCATGGAGAATGGTGGTGATTACGCTTTGTAACTGACTTTAAAATGCTCGCACATCCCTGGAGGACCAGACAATTCTGAGAAATCGCTTTCTGAGGGATGCTGGGGCAGAGAGCCAAAATCCTTACAATGTCAGGAAGTCAACAGAGGCCTGTTCTATTGGCCTGGACACAGTGACTTGGAGCTTCCTGTCAGTCCTCCAGGGAGTAGCCAGGCCTCTCTGTGTGTGACAAAGAGGACTCCTGCCTGCCCATGAAAGATAATTTTCCATTAAAAAGAATGAGATTCCTCTCCTTATATCTTTGTCCTCTAATGCTTTGCTTTCCCATCCTGATCCTTGACACCATTGCAAAAGGGGGCCTCATTCTCTGAGTGGTTGTTGTCTGAGCTATTGCGGATCAGCAGACACAGGTGGAGATCTATTTATGGTTTGGGTCACCTCCATTCAAGCACCTCTCTCTCTAAATTAATGTTTATGTATGCCCAGTCCATTTTTGACTCACAATCTCTCTCTGATACACCTAACTTAAAGTGTACATCCCGTGTAGAAGGATGGGGAGCTTAAATATCAAATCTTGCAGAGGATTCTGAATTCCGCGAAGCTGATGGAAGTGGCACGGGAAACATCTTAAATAACATTTATAACCAGTGTCAGATGAGGAGACATGGTATCAGGAACCAAAGAGCAAAGACGGCATCAAGTAGAAACAAGTTTAGGCAGATACCTGGAAAGATTTTATGAAATCATTAATTAATTGGGTAAGTGTTGTAGTTTTATAATTATAATGCACTGGGTGTCGAATGTGAGGCAAAGATCAATGAGAACTAGGAAAATACCTTCAAGGGTTCAGCAAGATGCTTTAGTGAGCTTAGTGAACTCCTGCACTGAACTTGAGGACCTTGGGTTTGATCCCAGAGGCCTTCAAGGAGGGAAGAGAGAATCAGCTCCTATAGGCTGTCTTCCAACCTCCATGCACACGCCATGCATGCATGTACCAGGTATCCATATACTCACATACATACTCACACACAAGTAAATATCTAGTCCTGAGGAAAATGATATGTAGTCCCTCTAATGGAAAGGCTATCATTTCTCTTGTGTCTAAGAACTGGCTTGCTCTTCCCATTATGTCTAGAATAAAAGCTAAGAATTATGTTATACTTTCATCAGACGATACTTATTCTGCCTGGAGGTGACTGAACTTCTATCTAACCACGTGGGCCTCCCTGCTATGATAACAGGAGAACCTTAGGCTACACTAGACCCTGCGTGAGTGCCATTCATGAGCTGGGGTGTTCAACTGTGATTTCTGGAGGTAGAACTTCTTCCCTGACACCCTCCCAAGCTTGGACTCACCTAGCGCTCTTCTCTACTTTACTTGTGTTGTTGACTCTGAATGCTTGTGTGTGGCTGCTTCTGCACAATAGGAACCGAGATTTGTGGGTCTTATTCACCGCTGTAACCCCACGGCTAACACTACCACTTGAGGGAATGGAATAGTCAAGCTGGAGGAAGGACAGAAATGAGAGCAAGGAAAGAGATATTTTGACTGCGGGGGCCATTATCAGACTAGCAAGAAACCTGACACTAAAGAAATTCCTAGGAATCCACAAGGATGACCCAAGCTAAGACCCTAAGCAATAGTGGAGAGGGTGCTTGAACTGGCCTTGCCCTGTAGTCAGATTAATAACTATCTTAAATGTCACCATAGAACCTTCATTCAGAAACTGATGGAAACAGAGGCAGAGACCCACATCAGAGCACTGGGTTGAGCTCCCAAAGTTTAGTTGAAGAGTGGGAAGAGTGAGAATATGAGCCAAGAAGTCAAGACCATGATGGGAACACCCACTGAAGCAGTTTACCTAAGCTAATGGGAGCTCACCAACTCCAGCCAGACAGGGAAGGAACCAGCACAGGA